ATATATATATATATATATATATATATATATATATATATATATATATATATATATATATATATATATATATATATATATATATATATATATATATATATATATATATATATATATATATATATATATATATATATATATATATATATATATATATATATATATATATATATATATATATATATATATATATATATATATATATATATATATATATATATATATATATATATATATATATATATATATATATATATATATATATATATATATATATATATATATATATATATATATATATATATATATATATATATATATATATATATATATATATATATATATATATATATATATATATATATATATATATATATATATATATATATATATATATATATATATATATATATATATATATATATATATATATATATATATATATATATATATATATATATATATATATATATATATATATATATATATATATATATATATATATATATATATATATATATATATATATATATATATATATATATATATATATATATATATATATATATATATATATATATATATATATATATATATATATATATATATGTGTGTGTGTGTGTGTGTGTGTGTGTATATACCTACAAAAATTATTATATTCTGAAACATAACGCATGACGCATAACGCTCTGGTTACTAGAGTAACCCTCGTTCCCCGAGGAGGGGAACTACAAAGTTATTGGTGGATTTGATTTAGAAAATCCACAAATTGGGAGGATTCGGTTCAGAAGCCACTTGTCTGAAAGAGTATGGAACGGACCAATGAATGCCAATGAATTGGCAGCGTAAGCTTGTGCACGTGTGCTTCATTGCCAACTCCACATATAAGCACAGGTGGAGCAACCAATCGCTATCCTTTTAAGATCAAGAGACTTTACTAACAGCTAAGGGACAGTCATTATGGCGATGGTTAATAGCATTTCCGTTTCCCTCCTCGGGGAACGAGGGTTACTTTAGTATTCAGAGTGTTCCCCTTTAGGTGGGGAACTCCAATGCTATTGGTGGATTTGATTTAGAAAATCCCAAATTGGGAGAACTATGGAAAATGCCATAATGACTGCACCTTACCAACGCCTCTGATGAGAAGATAGTCAGGCAAACGTGAATGCTCCTACATCATGGGAGGCGCGGTCCTCCAACGTGTCCCTGGCCCTTACTTATCTCACTTCAACAGAAGTTTTACGGATTTAGATATATTTTTTTGGAAGTCGCAAGCGTGTAGATAATTCTACGAATAATACGACTGTACATTGGGAAGCGTGCAGTCCCGATTGGTAGGACGCTGCGGAGGCCATCTGCTACCCAGGGGGGACATATAATGGCAGGAATATATGGACTAGCCCTAAGGAGGGGAGTACACATAATAAAAGGTGGTTAGCGGAGAGGGAAGACACGGGTCCACCCGAGAGGGGGTACTGAACCGTGGCAGAATAAGCATATGGGATCGCCTAGTGGGGATCACGCATAGCGGGCACCTATAGCGGGCAGACCTACAACGTAGTGGGCCAGCAAGTGACTCCTCCGCTGAGTCAGTGCTGGGACCCTCAGAGGGATCTGCAGGGCTCACCTGACGGGAACTTTACTGACAGATAAAAAGGCGCACGTATCTCCATGTTAGGGAAAATTGCGCAGCAAGCGTGTTTCAACACCCTCACCGAGTTGTTTCCTCAATCACCAAGGGTTACCTAATACCCTTGAGGAAACCGGCTCCACTCGCAGATTGTGTCACCCAGCCCGCAGCTCTACAGATGTCTGTTATGCTTTCCCACGGTGCTGCCAGCTATCGCGTCATGATAAGCGGAGATGGCAGCCACGTAAACCTTGAGAGTGGAGGGCGACAGCCTGCTCTCCAGCTTCTCTTGAAGGAAAGAGAACACAACACTGATCTGGCAATTTTGGGGGTCTTCTCTGCGAGAGATGCACCATTCAGTGAATAGACTCCAGCGATTTCAGCCGCAGGTGACTCCAGAAAAGCAGACGGTGGGAGAGCTGAGACATGCGGCGAGAGCGCATACCCCCCATACGGTTGATACACGCCGCCGCCTCCGTACTGTCCATCCTGACCAGCACGTGTTGCTGCTCCAGCACCGGAAAAAAGCGGTGGAGAGAGAGGAAAACTGCCAACAGCTCTAGGCGATTGATATGCCAATGCAACTGGGCACCCTTCCACAGGTCCACTGCTGCATCCCTGAAACACAAGGCCCCCCCAGCCCGTGTTGGAAGCATCTGTTGAAACAACAACATGACTGGACGCCTGTCCTAGAGGGACACCGGCCTGTAGGAACGAGGGGTCGTTCCAAGGGCTGAGGGTGCGGCGACACAGCGCAGTGACAGAGACTCGGTGTGTGCCCGCTTGCCATGCGCATCTTGGAACTCGATCGTGAAGCCAGTGCTGGAGTGGTCTCATATGGAGTAATCCGAGCGGCCAACTTTCCATCTCAACTGGAGGGAGCGGTTCGATTGCACCCTTCGCCAGGAGTTTACTGGACTTAACGGCGCCCTGGGCAGGGGGGGCTGTCTGCTTTCGAGGTGCTCGATGCACCCGCTTCGCCGAAGACAGCAATCGTTGGCGGGCGCCCTCGGCGAGGAGCAGCGGAGTTGGATGGCTCGGCGGGCAGAGCGGGCTTACGGTCCCGCCGATAGATGACATTACCCATCATGTAACAAGCCTGAGTTAGACCCGCCCTCGTGCAGCTCGGCCAGCGTCTGCGCTTTGTAGCGCTGGTATGTGGCCATCGCGTGCAAGGCGGAAGCAGCCTGGCCTGCAGCCTTGTAAGCTCTGGCTCCGAGGGAGGCAGATAACCTACAGGCTGCCCTCCAAGACTGCGTGAGCCTACTTTGCACCTCCGGGAAGAAGGGGGTGAGAGGCTTCGAGGGCTTCCCCTTCTGGTCCTCAACGTAGCACCCATCTAGTCAGTCCGGCCGCGGAGCTGGGGGATGAACCAACTCCAACCCCATGGCCGAAGCAGCCCGGGAAAGCACAGCTAACATGTCCGCCTCAGGATGCGTTTTGACCTCCGGGCAGGCGAGCGGGTCTGGATCTTCGTCGGACAGTAAAAGCCCACCCTCCGATGCTGCGGTGGACGTCTGATCTCCGGTGTCAGCGAGCGTGAGAGCTACCATCTGATTAGACGGATCACTCCTACTGCCCGAAGCTTGGATGGAGCGCCTGGAGGAGCGAGAGGTCCATGAGCCCTTGGGCGGCGGATTATCTCTCGCTGAGACCCTCAGATCTGCCAGAGTCACCGCTGCAGAGCAGGGGACAGGTAAGGTGGTTCGCTCTCTTATCTCTCTCGCAATCCTAGCTGCGCAACGGTCATGGCATCGCAGTGATGACATGAACCGCCCGCGAGCACCACATTAACATGCTGGACCCCCAAACATGTAATGCAGTGATCATGCCCATCATCTGGAGCCAGGAAACCCCCGCATCCAGAAACGCACAGTCGGAGCGCCATCCTAAAAAAAGGACGTGCTGCACGACTGTGTTGCTTTTTTAGGAAAAAATGCAACTTATACGCACCGCTCTGGAGGACAGGACCCAAAGACCGCCAGGCAAGGGAGAATCCCAGCTCAATCGTCTGCCGCCGCGTATACCCACTCTGGACCGGGAGACACTCCTTCGCTCGGATATCGCTGTATTCAGCAAGAGGAAGCCTCATCGACTCGATCAGAAAGTCTCTGAAGCGAAAAGGATAGCAAATGCTTGCTCCACCTGTGCTTATATGTGGAGTTAATTGGCAATGAAGCAAACATGCGCAAGCTTACGCTGCCAATTCATTGGCATTCATTGGCCCGTTCCATACTCTTTCAGACAAGTGGCTTCTGAACCGAATCCTCCCAATTCGTGGATTTTCTAAATCAAATCCACCAATAGCATTGGAGTTTCCCACCCGAAGGGGAACTAACGCACTCTGCGTTGGATTTTAGACCAGCTTTTAGATTATCAAAGGTACGGTCTATTATAGTTTATCAAAATTGCAACTGAAGACATCCATTACCCTAAATATTATGTTACATAACATGTTTGTTATGCGCAAACTATCTAAACCAACGTCATATTTTTATGCCCCATATAGTGATACATATATCACTAAAACTTGACAGGTGAACAAATTTAAACTTGTTTTTATTCAAAAAATATAAATAATGCTATTGATAAAAACATACAAATGCAAATTGTCATGAATAAAATAAAAAAGCCCCCGGGAGGCATGGAGGCTGTGGTCTTTATATTTATATAGAAAATAATCATTTTTGTAACATTTTAATCCTTTAATTATTTTTATATGTAACAATATTTTTGTATTGCAGTACATCCTGTGTTTATTAAGCAGTGTGTAAGCGTTTGAACCCACATAGGCACATAAGACTCTGCGCTGGACTTTAGACCTGCTTTCAGCTGGTCAATGGCACAGTCTATTTCAGTTCTTCAAAATAGCAACGCACCAATGATGTGCCTTAACACACCTCTATTTTAGACCGGCACGCTCATGAGTCCACAAGGTGCTGCAAATAGATTTGCTGTTTAAACAACATGGTACAAAATGTGAAAATTAGGGTTGCACTGGTCTGAAAATAGCAACAAATCGCGCCAAAAATGTCTTGTGCCTTATTGCGCAGGATGTATGATAGGGCCCATAGACTGAATACCAATTTTCAAATCAATCTGAATAACGGTTGGATAGCTACAGCAGTTTCATGAATTTTTTTTATTTTTTTGATGGTTGTTCAACTGTGACCTTACACTGATCTCATCTATGTGCTCAAACACTTTGGTGAAAATATTTTATTCTGTTCAAGAGTCATGGGCTTTAGTAAAAGTGAATGAAGCTGAACGAGATTGTGAAATATAGTTGAATGGTTTGCCATTTATGACTGGTCCTTGTTGATATTCACAGGAGGCATTACAGAAATTGAAGATAAACGAGAAGAACGCAATATTAAAAAATACACATACCGTTCCAGATAAGGATGCTGATTTCCACACAGCATATTATAGTGATATTGACCCAGAAGAAATGGTACAACAGATTTACCCCACATCCCAATCTGACAGCGATTCTGATCCAGCTGATAATGAGAGATCTACGTTCAGCAAGGTCGATCCGCATACACTGATGGATGTGGAGCAAAGTAAAGTTCAACAGATGTCAGATTACAGGAGCTCTTCACTGACTGAACCCGATGATCAGAGCCAGTCAGGTTATGAAGAGGTTGTGGGAAAGACTGATTCAGTTGGATTGAACGCAGAACAAGGAAAAAGCAGAATTAACAGCAATCAGTGGGAAGATGAAGAGGCCTCATTAAAAAATATCCAAGAAAGGCGAGTTACATGGACACAAAAACAACAGACACCTTCAAACTCGAATGACCTTACACAACAGGAATTACCAATAAGAAACAATTTGAATGGACCTGCTGGACATGTAAAAGACACAATCCAACCTCTCATAACTACATCCGCACATGGGACAAGTGTAGAAACAGGTGAACCAATGCATCTAGATCCAGATAGTGACTCTCAAGAAAGCAGGAGAAACTCTTTGTGCAGCCAGCAAGAAGATGATGAAGAGTCCCTCACAGAATCAAAGAGGTTCTCCAGGAAACTGAAGTCTCCTCGCATACAGAGGAGACGTCTGAATAATGCGCAGCCAAACGGAATGGGATTTGCTTCCGATGCAAACTCCAGCAGAAGCCAGAAAAACAAATCTCAGGATTCTCACAGAGTGCTAAAGCTGGGATCTCTGAAAAACAACCCTAGTACATTATGGTATGTTCCTGAGAAGAGATCACCGAAGAGATCACCGACTCAAGAGATGCACTCTGAACCTGAGCAGACACCGGAAGAAAAGCGTAAATTGAAACTAATCAAACTCAAGACCCAGAGGAGCGCTTCTATCCCAGAAATCAGCATACCTCAGACTTCCATCCCACCTTCCCAAATTACTAGCTCCTCACTGTTAACTGCCCCAGACCCCCAGCCTCCAACATCTCCACTTCAGAGTGTGCTGCAGAGGGCAAAAGAAAGGGAAAAGGAACGCGGGCTGGGAAGAAAAGTTGTAAAGGAAAAAGAGAAGACTTTTTCCATACAAAATTCTCCTACTATTTCTGCCTCTTCATCGCTGTCGGCCAGTGAAGGAGAGAGAGAGACAGAAAGAGAGGAATCAGCAGAACCCAGTGTAATGTTTGCACATGGATGGAGAGAAGGAAATGTTGATGGAAGTGAGGATGAGATGAAAGAAAGGTGAGTCTACAGTACATGCGTCACTGTTGCTAAATGTAGCACTAATGTTAAAAGAAATAGATCTAAAAACAAGTTCTGTAATGAGGAACTGTTTTTAACAGGGATGAAGAATCATATTTTTCTTGATATTTCTTGAGGCTCTTCCACTGAACTAGGAAGCATGATTCACAAATGATTTTATCTATTTTTTAAATTATGCAAACCAAAAAAATAAACAATTGGCCATCTGAACATTTGGTCAAAAAGCTGTCTTAACCAAAGATATGTATAGTGCACCTGTAAAAAATATCCAGAAATTAGCAGCTTTCGTCCTACAAATTAAAATGTTAGAGATATATTGTCTGGATTCGAGTTGGTGTACAGTACAGGTCAGTATGGGTCACCTTTATTAGGCTTGAGTTTCCACTGCCAAAAGGTGAGTGTGGAGTACGACATAAAGTTTCAGTCAATGAGTTCTATTTTAATGGGCTATGCGCAAAGTCTGAAGCGCAGGGCGCAAAATCATTAGGGGGTGTGCGAATCCACTTTTGCTATTTAAAGACAGGAAAACATGCTCTGCGTCGCGATGCATGGTCTATCGGGGTTGTGCTTATTCTCTTAATGAGTTAAAGGTGTGTTTTGAGAATAAACCAATCAGAGTTTCATCTCCCATTCACTTTAAGAATCAGTTTCGTCGCTCCATGGCGCATTTGCTATTTACATGGCAGACTTTGTAAGAGCGGAATGAACCGCCAGCTTATCCGGCACATGTTTTACGCAGCGGATGCCCTTCCAGCTACAATCCAACACTGGGAAACATCCATACATTCATTCATTTTCTTATCGGCTTAGTCCCTTTATTAATCTGGGGTCGCTACAGCGGAATGAACCACCAACTTATCCAGCAAGTTTTTACACAGCGGATGCCCTTCCAGCCGCAACCCATCTCTGGGAAACATCCACACACACACTCATACACTACTGGCAATTTAGCTTACCCAATTCACCTATAGCACATGTCTTTGGACTGTGGGGGAAACCGGAGCACCAGGGGAAATCCCACACGATCACAGGGAGAATATGCAAACGCCACACAAAAATGGCAACTGACCCAGCCGAGGCTCAAACCAGTGACCCTCTTGCTGTAAGGTGATCATGCTACCCGCTGCGCCACCGTGATGCCCTTAATCTATACAGTGCTCAGCATATATATATATATATATATATATGCATATACAAATCTATCTTTTAGATTCATATTTTAATAGAAAGCTATACAATATTATAATTGTGCATATGCATTAGATTAGACAGTACTAAAGCTAAATCTGGAGCTTATCTAACAAAATGACTTTCAATAACGCTTCAAAAACTAGTACACGCAAATTATGTTATAAAAAAAATAATAAAAGCTAATTTAAAAAAGAGTAATATTCAAGAGAAGCAAAACTAAATAAAAATGTAGTTTAAATTTTGTAGGTTGTAATTTTTTTTACAATATTTTTCTTGAAGTTAATTGTATTATTTCAATTCAATTTCTATCAATTTCCAAATATCTTTGGTGACTACAATTTTATTTTAATAAATATATCTGTTTAATAAATCCATTTTGTTTAAATGCACTAAAATCCATTGCCTATATACACTAAGAAATGCATAAAAATATAACTTTTTTTAAATGGGCTGTATTCAATTATGCTGAGCATTGTAGATATAATTTCCCTTCAATTAAACCCCAAAATAACCCTTACTGCCCAGTGGAAAAAATATATAATTTTCATTTTAAGTATATTTGTTCCATTTGTGAGATATGACTGTATAGAAAGGCCTTGCTGTTTCGGAACAGAACAGTTTCATGTATGTTATTTCTTCTGTCTACCCACACATAATTCATCTGTGTACTGTTGCATAAATTTCGCTCTTAAATATTACATTCAAAACTTCCCTGGAAGCTGGAAGATAATTGTCATAATTTGCCATTCTTCTAAAATCTCTTTTTTTTGTACATCTCCAGTTTCTCATTGTAGCTTAGTTCTTCACATGGACCATTAGGAGTCAGGCTTACCCCTGAAAAAAAGCACAGCACACAGCAAGGATATACAGCACTCGCTTTCATTTATTGTCTTTATCATCAACTCATCAATTCACTAAAATAGACCTTAATCTCTGCTCTGTCAGCTTTTGAAGCTGACAATTTAGCTCTATAACAAATAACAAAGTGGGTTTTTAATGATATTCTCATAGTATGAAATAATATATTGTAAAAGAAATAATATAAAGTTAAAGTCAGAATTATTAGCCCCCTTGAATAATAATTCTGGTAATTCTGACTACAACTGAATAGAGAAATAAGTCTGTAAAATTCCAGAAAATGTACTGGCAGTTTATTTTGCATACTGGCATGTTTTTGTACACCAACACAGACAATATATCACTTTAAACTATTAAAAATGTGTCACTTTTTCAAAATGTTAATGGTTTAAAGGTAATTGAAAAAGATTAAGGTCCCATAATGCAATTCAAAAGCATAAATAAACAGGGAAAAATAAAAACATGAATTACAAAATATGGAAAATTGCACTGAAAAAAAGGAATTATTGGATTTACTACTTTTTTTAAGGTAAGTGGTTGCAAAAAATTTATATGAGCTGACTTTAAACAAGCTAATGAAGTTGAACAGTACTACATTTCATTTGTTTGTTTAAAATCAGCTCATAAAAGTTGTTAGTGTAACGAGGAGTCTGAGACAGTGTTAGAATCCAAATGCAGAAGTTTATTAAAGGGGTTTGGCAGAGACATCAAAGAGTAAACAGGGGGAGAGTCGGCAAGAAGTATGCAGTCCAATCCAATCAACAAACAAAGGGGGAAATTCAGAAGACGTAGTGAAAGTTCAGGCAAAGCTTCAGTATTAGAATAATCAGTCCAAAACAGATCAAAAGAGCAAAGACAGAGAAAGTGTAATATCTCAGCACTTTATCGCATCCTCCAACCCACCAGGGGGCGCACATGTTGCCCTATACTCCTCAACATTGGATGGCAGTAATGACTCTTGTTCCTCTAAACTCTCCTGTAATCAGCGTAACCACCACCACCTGTTCTTTGCTCTATATAAGACTGCTTTGTATGCTGCTCTATGTTCAGTCCTGAACTAAACCTCTTGCTGCCTTGTCCAGTTTCCAGTTAAGTTGTTCTCAAGACTTTTTGCTTGTTCTCAAGACTTGTTTGCTATTTTGCTGTTTGATTGTTTTGAGACCCTCGTGTCTATTTTATTTTGTATGTATTTTCAGGAAGCTCGGCTTTCCTATTTTTGTTGTACTTTTCAACCCTGCTGTAGAGAGATATTATCTCTCCTTTTTGTCAAATTTACCTCAGTAAAGACTATATATTTTTTTTTTGAAATTCATCAGTTGTGGACTCACTTTGTTCCTCCTCTGCTCTTGGGCCACCAGTTGCTGACTTAGCTCATCTAGTAAGAGCTACTGCTAACCACACTGCAGACCCGGGTTCGATCCCCACTCAGATCATCACAGCAGGACTGAACCATGGAAAACCGCCCAGCAGAGGAGGCTGCACCAGTCTCAAATGTGGATCGCATTCTTGCGGCACTTTCAGAACAAGCCACCGCTATTCAGCAGCATGACCAAACTTTATGTGAAATTCTTAGCCTCTTGAATCCCCACTCTCAGACTACAATGGCCCAGGTAATTACGCCACAGTCTGTTCCCTTGTCAACACCTGAGCCCAAGTTGCCCCCTCCCCAGCGCTTTGATGGCAGTTTCGAGAACTGCAGGGGATTCATTACTCAATGTACTTTGATCTTTCAACTACAACCTAGTTGTTTTCCTACTGACTGCAGTAAGGTGGCATATATAATTACACTCCTTACGGGCAAGGCTCTGGATTGGGCCTCAGCCTTGTGGGATAAGAAGTCCCCTGTAACCACTAATCTCCAGCTCTTCCTAGCAGAGATGAAGAGAGTGTTCCTCCATTCAGCAGACAGTGGAGAGGCAGGACGCCGTCTCCTAAGACTATCTCAGGGGTCCCGCAGTGCCGCTGAGTTTGCCATTGAGTTCCGTACTCTGGCCACCGAGAGTGGGTGGGGCCAATCTGCACTTAGAGCGATCTTTCACAATGCATTGTCTCCCAAGCTCAAGGATGAACTGGCATTCAGAAACTCCCCATCAGACCTTGAGTCCCTCATTGGTTTAGCCATTCGGGTTCATAACCGCCTTAAGGAGCGGCAGACAGAGAGAGAGCAGGACACAATTATGACCCGTCATGACAATGTTGTTTATCCCACACTGGATCCTGAGGAACCTATGCAATTAGGGGCTACAAGGATCTCGCTCTCTGAAAGAACCAGACGAATGAAGGAGAAGTGCTGCATTTATTGTGGGAAGCCGGGTCATTTCCGGGCAACATGTTCAGAGTTGTCGGGAAAAGTCAGATCTCGTTCCGGTGTAGGGGCCCCGGGGCGAGAGTAGGTGTGATTCCCTGTCCCATTTTCTCTGGTTTAACCATCCAGGCAGTCATCTCTCTCCAACAACCCCACGAGGTGGAGATCTTCATTGACTCAGGTGCAGCAGGAAACTTTATGGACCTCAAGTGTGCTCAAGATCTTTCCTGTGATCTCCTAACCCTGCAAAACCCCCTTAAAGTCTCAGCAGTAGACGGCAATCCGCTAGGCTTAGGCCACATCCACCAATGCACCACAGCTTTCCATGTGAGAATTGGAGATCATGAAGAAAACCTTCAGTTTCACATCATTCATTCCCCTAAGATCCCCATAATCCTGGGACACCCCTGGTTAGTAACCCATAACCCACTTATTGATTGGTCTAAAGGAGTTATAGTAAGTTGGAGATGTAAGGGGTCCAGTTTGAACACCATGTTTGGTCAGTCAACCAAGGATTCAACCCTTTGCCATTGCCCTCTTCCCCTTGAGACTCAGCCAGAACCCCCCAGGCACACCAAGGCCATCCCCCTGGACATCATGACTATTCCCAAGCCACAGATTGTTCCCAAGTCGCTCAATACTCCCCCCGAGATATCC